AGTGTTATTTCTACTGCACTCAGTACAAGCTTAGGCCTGCTTATGTCAGCCTTAAATTTATCTGCAACATATTCTCTTTGACAGAAATAAGGTATTATTTGGGCATACTGAATAGAAATAACACAGAAATATGACTAAGAGATCAATTTCTTAGTTTTGTTTTTGTATATTCAAATATAAAAATATATTGTATATTCTCAGTGACACTAAATCAGGAATAATTAATTGATTTCAAAGATTACAGTACTGTAACTGAAATCAGCATCTGTTCCAAATGGTTTTTTCCCCAAGGGAATTTGAAAGACACATATCACAGAATCAGAATCACAGAATCACAGAATGTTAGGGATTGGAAGGGACCTGAAAAGATCATCTAGTCCAATCCCCCTGCCAGAGCAGGAACCTAAATGAGATCAAATAGAAAGGCATCAAGGCGGGTTTTGAATGTCTCCAGAGAAGGAGACTCCACAACCTCCCTGGGCAGCCTGTTCCAGTGCTCTGGCACCCTCACTGTAAAGTAGTTTCTTCTGAAGTTTAAGCGGAACCTCCTGTGTTCCAGCTCACACCCATTGCCCCTTGTCCTATTACTGGGCATCACTGAGAAGAACCTGGCTCCATCCTCCTGACATTCGCCCTTTACATATTTATAAACATTAATGAGGTCTCCCCTCAGTCTCCTCTTCTCCAAGCTAAAGAGACCCAGCTCCCTCAGCCTTTCCTCATAAGGGAGATGCTCCACTCCCTTAATCATCTTGGTGGCTCTGTGCTGTGAGTTCACAAAACAAAAATCCCCCAATCTACTTTACAATTGTTAAAAGTACACAGAATTTTTTCCCTGAGAAATAATTTTTAATGTAGTTATAAGTAAGGATGGAGTTTCACCACTCTATTTCTTTATTATTATTCTTTATTTCTCCAGCAGATCTGTCTCTGCTTTGATGCTTTTCTTTAGGGACAGAGAAATACTCAAAGAAGTTCAGACCAAGAAATGAAACAAGAAAATTGACCAATGTGATCTATGCTGGATCACAGAAGAAAAAACTTCTTATAGAGAGAATGTGTACTTATATGACCGATGCCATGAATATTTACACTCCAACTTCAAATTATGTAAAAATTTTGGAAAACAGTCTCTGATAAAAAAAGTCTATAAGACATGGTTCTATCAATGGCACATATTGTTAACCTGTATTTTTCGGGCAGAAAGAATTATAACATTGCTATCAATACTAAGATTTCCACCCACACCTCTCCTCCAAAAGAAAAAAAAATACAATGTACAAACCAAAAATTAGTTTATGTTCTTTTCTTAGGTCCCTCATTCCAGAAATTTTTTCCCCATCATTGCCAAGAAAGAGCTTCTCAGAGTTCTTTTTGCTTAAAAAGCCACTGCCACACATTTCCAATCTATTTTTTGAGTCTAGAAGATTTCTTTCTGAAATGATCCCACTTCTTTTGAGTATTTCTGTGTGAAATATCTATGCTTTTTTCTAAATGACTCTTAAAAAAGAGGGGGTTTTTTTTCTGCCATGAACAGGCCCATATACTACCAGAAAAGGCTTTTCATGATTCAAACCAAAAATTGTTCATGGGACTCATTTATGTCATTTATGTCTTTCCCAGAACAATAAGATCCCTCAGTGCCAGGGTTTGGAGTTCTTTTGGTTTGTTCTCATTTGGATTTTTTTTGACATGAAAATGGTACTACTTCCAGTAGTATTCACTCCAGATAGACAATGTCAGTGATACGGAAAATAAAGATTTATGTTGTATTATCTATAATCCAGAAAAGCTGAAGGGATTTACAATATTCTTCTTTGACTGACTCAAAGGATATGAGTCAGAGGGTAGAATGGAGAATGGAAATGATACCAGATTGTAAAAGGCAGCTTTCCATAGTTAATTTCTAGCTTCCTGAAAAAGGGACCTTGTATTTGTAACTCATGCATTGATACTTATCACTGAGTTTGTCATTAGAAAAATGACATTGACCTCTATGGGGTTATTTTCTCAGATCCCTCACAACTTAAACAAAAGTCTGTGGCTGATGTTGTTAGGGTGGAGAACCAAATGACTTTAGTAGACTTTTTAACTAATCATTAAGATGTTAAAAAAGGCCATTAATGTTCACATTGGGTCCACAGAAAACATTCCACTTGCAACTGTTATTTTTGATTATGATTTTTCAGGCTTAATAACTTATTTTGGGCCAAATGCTCAAGTTTCAATAGCTTTATCTTTGTTTCTGACATAGTAATGAATATGTCTAATTAATTCTTAGTATTTACTCATCTTTACTATTACTGATTAGGAAGGGTAGGGAAATCCAGGGTTATGACATATCTATTAACTTCTCATATTTCTTCTGAACATGATGGCCTTAGAATCCTGTTCTAGGTTCTCATCAAAAGTAGTCCATATGTCAAATAGAAAATCACCTTATAAATATCTTATTTGATTAATAATGTGATAGAAAAATCTCAAACATTTATGAATTGTGGCCTTTCTTGTGTTCTTGAAGGTGAAAAAACCCATAGATTCTGCACATTTTAAAGCACTAGCTGAAAATCAAGCTGAGATTTTGTTTTCCCTGCCCTAGGGCTTTTATCATTCCTTAACTGCAAAATCACTACTAACAGCTTACTTATCAAACCCTAAAAGATGCAAGGCCAAGTGTCTGTTTTGTGGAATGACTGAAGTGCCCCTTTTTTGTCTGGCATGTTGAACAAAAAATCACTTCATGCTTTTACAAGCATTTTAGTAATACAGAAAAAGTAAGTGGTATTGTCACTGACATTCTACTCACACAAAAAAATCATTCAATTAGGCAAGCCTTCGATATCAGTACAAAATCTGTATATTGTAGATACTGCAAAAACAAATTGTTTGTCCTTCTGTAAGAGCTAGGTCCCTCTGTGGTAGGTCTAGATTAATTTTTCCTTTGGAAGCGTGGGAACAATTGGCAAATTTCTCCCAGTTTGCCTCCCAGAACAATCCAATAATTTAAGAATCTAAGTCTTCATGTCAGAAATACTTGTTGTTTCTCAATAAAAAGAAATAAGAATATTCTATTCTAAAAATAGAATAAGCTATGCATATCCAGGACGCTGAAATATGTATGACTGCAGGTAGTTTAGGGAAGGTGATTGTGGCCACAAAGCCAGGAAAAAATATACCTGGTGTTATCCCTGTCCCAGAATAGACTAGGTTACTACTGGAAGAAGAGTTGCAAACCACTTGGAAAGAGTTTTGATGTCTTGTTTCTCCTGAACACGTGCAATAAAGCATTTCGTCACCCCGACCCCAAGGGGTATCCTAGGCCAGCGGATTTCAAAATTACGACAGAGAAAAAAAATAGTTAAAGTCTTTCTATTACCATTCAGTTTTGTTATCAAAATCAAATTGCATTCAACAGTTTATTTCTTTAATACTGCTGATCCCTCTCTGCTTTTTCTTGATGTGACAGTAAAGTAAATAATTAATCATAGTGAAATTTGAATTGTCAGTTATCAGTCACACAGGAGAGATGCTATATTAGCTGGGAGAGGCAGTTCACAATGCTCAGAACTATTGTTTTAGATCCTGTGCAGGACTGTGTCGATACCACCGCATCATGTTGATTATTTGTATTATTGTGATTTCTTATGCTAAAATAAAGGCTAGAAACTTATTTAAAACCTCTAAAAATGAAAACTGAGATTCAGTAGAATTAGATAGTAACCTCAAAAAACCATAGATTGCTGAACGTACAGACCATAGGTTAGAGTCCAGCATTTTCTTGATTAAAGCTGGGCCAGATTGTTAGCTACTTCAAAATACCAGGATAGTTAGTGTTGCAAGGACACAAGTTTTGATAGCGTAGGTATAACCTTATAGTATCTCTCTACATATATTTTGTTCTTTCTTTTCTTCCTTCAGTTTTTGCTAAATAAACTCCTCTAGGTAGGTGCTTATGCACAGAAATAGCAGGGAAAATATTTCATAGATTAAAGTACCTAATGTTATTTTTCTTTTCCTATTTCTCTTCTGAATGAGAAATTGCTTCTTAGATCACATAAGTCTGCACTGGTGGCAGCCACATCACTGAGATGGAATTTCCTACCTGGACTTCTTCTCTGTGACTTAATCACACCAATGCCGATTTTTGATTTTCAGCAACAGTAAAACTGAAAGTATTCAGATAGTTGAATACCATTCCAAGGTGCTTCTAGAAACTTTTAAAGTTAGAAGGGGTTAGAGGACTACGTGAGCTTTAAATAGGAAGAATATAACTTGTTCTGTCAGATGTCCTAAAAAATTCTTTATTCATCTTAATAGGCTCTACTTACTGCTTACTATGAAAAGAGTAATCAATTATCAGTACAGCGGTATTACTAAGTCACAGATAAAAATCATCAGGTAAATATGTTTTCTATCTTTGTTGCTAGAATTTCTTTTCACTATTACATATAAACAGTAAGAGGTATATAAAGAATGATCACTTACTACTTGAAGTAAAGAAAGATACCCAAATCCTACATTATCAAAGTTTACTTTCACGTTTTTCCATCGGGCACTTTGATTGTTTTTTATGAGTTCCTCACACTGACTAAAATTGTTGATTTGGTCGACTTCAAACCTTTCATCAGTTGTGGTGTTAACACAGTAGTAGAACTTCCCAGCAAACAGATTTACTCCCATGATGCTGAAAATTAGCCAGAATATAAGACAAACGAGAAGCACGTTCATGATGGATGGAATTGCTCCTAAAAGGGCATTCACAACCACCTAGTACACAAATACAGGGGGAAAAAGAAAAGAGTGTAAGAATATTTACAGCAATAAAGGTTTGTATAATGTTTTACCAATGCTTCACAAATGCTTGTTCAGAAACTAGTACTATAAATGTTAAAGCAGTACATTAATAACCGTAGCATTACACTGTTCAGTACTTAACATTAGAACATATAATGAAAGAAAAAAAAAGTAAAAAAAATAAAATAATTAAAAGAAAAACAAAAGAGAAGACCTGGTGATAGTAAGATGAAGCCTGACACTGATGTGTTCTATATGAAAAAGATAAACATGTTAAATATAAATAGAGACATAATAGAATTCTAAAAATGCATAAAATTATGGCTTAAAAATGTTTAAAGAAAAATGGCAACCTGTAGATTTGATCAACATAGCTTTGAAATTTAAGCTGAAAACACAAATGCCATGAATCTAGAAACTAAGCTCTGCATTAAAAGGATTATGCAGGAATTAAATACATATCTTTATTGCCTTATTGTTGCATGCAAGATTATAACAAAGATTAATTTCTTTGTATAGAAAAGCAAGACAGTTTTGCAATATGTGTCTACTTGAATCAACATAATTTATTTCAAGCTCCAGTCTTATTGTTTCATGTATTGAGTTTGTCAGTAATACTCTTCATTTATCTAAAGAAGGACATATATCAAGGACATATTTAGGGGGTTTGATTTTGCATTTTAAATTAATTCGGCCAGTTGCCCTCTCAGCCTCTTGCAGGCAAGATGTCAATAATTACTTATGTAGACAAAAAACGTATTTTTTCTGATATATACAGTAATTAATCACGTGTGTCTGTCAGAGCTATCAAAACTTTTGTGCTGTGTGACTGGTAATACCCGGGCAATAATTTCTCCTTGAGTATCCAATACCAGTTCTCATATACAAGTTATATTTTATTTTAAATTTTACCTTTTTTCTCTGTAAAATTTTTAGGACCTTGTAAGAAGGTAAAATAAAACACATAGTAGGGCTCTGATTCTCAGAAATCCAATTCCTACAGTAAGACAAGAAAGCACTGGCATGGATACTTGGGGTGTATTAAGGTGTCTTAGTCCGTCTTTGTTCCCTGCTTTCTAAAATGTAGAGGGATCTTCCCCACTACCAACATAATTCTGAGCAAACTCAGAGCTGCTTAATCTTACTACCTGTATTTCACAGCCTCTTGAAGGCCTTTGGAAGCAGAGTACTGTGGTTGTGCTACTCATCACTCAGCACCCTCCTCCTTCTAAATGTTATGGCAAGGAATTAGGACCTGTTTAGAGATCTTAGGCAGAAATGTTATTTTCAGGGTATATTTTCTTCTCATTTTAAGGACATCCTCCATTGCCAGACAGTAGAAATGGGACCTTTCTGTAACTGAGAGTCATCTCTATCTTTTATAAAAAAAAGAATTTTAAAAAATTTAGCTTTTCTTAGCAGCTTCTATTTTTTGTGATAAATTTAAAGGAAGCATGCTTGCTTCTTGAGATGTCTATTATAGAAAATATGGAGTATCTAGGTGATATGTCCATAAACTAGCCATTTAAAAAAATGCTTAAAAGATCTAACAAGGTCCCAGTAATATTCTGAACATAAGAAGCCGTTTTCAAAGGAGTGAGGGAAATGTTTTTATACTATCCTGGGGGGAGAAGAAATGCATTGCTACTTAGCTTAATGGAACTGAAAACAACATAAAAATTAGGAATGCAACGATCCTGGATTTTATTCCAAATCTGACCTAATCTATGACACTGTATTATGCTATTACTACTTTGAAATTCTAGGTCAGCTAGTGCTTGTCTTATTTTTTTTTTTTCCTTCACCCATAAAATGTTCTGCATGTGCCATACTGACTGAATTCCTCTTTGAATCTTGTTAAAAAACCTGAAAATAAAGATGTCAAGAAAGAAAGATGAGTATTTAGTCCTACAATTTAAATAAATTAAGGTTACCTGTGCTAACATGAGGAATGGTTTTGTATTGAGTGCCTGTAGCAGTAACCTTTTTAACAACCCTGAGATCCATTGGACCACAGCACAGATCCAGAACAGGCAGCAGAATAGTAACAGCTACAGTAATTGTTACAACAATTATGAATTGATAATAGTTGTAGAAAGAAAGATTTCTACAAAATGCAAAGTGTGTCTCTCATTTTTGGATGAACAGGTAATGCAGCCTCACTACTAAGACTGCTGAGAGATCAGCCATATCTTCTTGAATAAGAAGTGAACAGCTTCCAGCAACTGTTCCAACAACAGTTCCAACACCTTATATCATATAGGTCACTGAAAACCCATCAAATGGTAACAATTTTTGGTCACTACTGACCTGGCCTGGATGCGAACTGGTGACCTAGAGATGAAAGGCTCTGTATCTTATTACCAACCCCTTGAGCTATCCAGTCCCCCTGGAAGGTTTTTTAAGAAAAGAAGAAAAGAAAATTAAAACTTTTAGAAGTAGCTTTCTGTTTGCTTTTTGTTTTTGTTCGGTTTTTTATTTTCTTCCCCCCCCACCAGTGTTGGTTTTTGCCCTATCATATTTATAATGTAAAAAGGCATTTTTACATGCTGATCAGATGCTTGGCTGACTAAATTCCACCTTAGTAAGAAGTCTTTTATTTCTTCAACACATACAGTTGGAAGCAATTGCTTTATCAGTGTTTTTCTCTGTTTACTTTTTTGGTATTTGATATGGGAATAGCTGAGGTATATCAGGATAACCAGGACATTAGGTTACATAATATATATCAAAGATAGCACCCATATACACATGACATCTACACACATAAATTACAGTAAATTGAAAAAAAAAGAGAGAACCAATTGAAAAGTGAACTGAATGAAGAAAATAGGTCAATTAGCATTTCTTAATGTGTTAAAAAATTAGTGAATAGAAATTGTCAATCTTGTTGAAAAGGGTCTGCAGTGGGTTAAAAGCATATTGGCAACTACAGATCTTATTTTTGCTCATTCTTCAAACCGAGATCAGATGGATGTGATTCTAAATTTATTTTTCATTTTAAAACGAGCTGTTCCTTTGGGCCTATTCTCTGCTATTCCTTGATACAGAATATAATGACAATAAATTGAAAAAAAGATGTTTGTAGAGTTGTTTGTTTGTTTATTTAAATTACCTATGCATTTCTTCAAGGCTGGGATGTTGTTGGCCAGGCTGACTCCGGTGAGCAAGCTGTAAAAGCCCAAGATGATTCTGCTTGTTCACCTTCCTACAGCTTCAGGTAGGTGGAATAGCAATAAGTGCAAGTGAGAAGCAACATCTGGCATTTACAAAGACAAATGGGCTCTAGACTATTTTATTTCTCAGTTGATATTAATCCAGGAAAAAAAAAAAAACAAAAAACCAAAAACCCACCATTGTAGGAAACCATGTCTCCTCTAGAAGAAAGCAATATTTCATATATATACACACAACTTTTTAATGTTTACATTTTCATAACATTTATCTTCCTGCATCAGATATATACGTAAGATAAAAGAATTACTGCAATGCTAATTGTCTGTCTTATCTTCTGGCTGATATGACATTATGTCAATACAAATTAGTAGTCCAGTTGGTTTTTGTTGTTGCTATTTGTATGGTTTTTTGGACAGATGTCCAAACAAGAGAGAAAAATGGAACTGAAAAAAAAAAAAAAAAAAGTTTTGCTCCTAGACATGTTCGTATGTATAGAATGAGGACTGTGCAAAATACCAGCTTATCCCTGCCATATGAGTAGAATATAAGGAAGCTTAACTAGATTCAGCCTTGCTGTGGGACACATATCTGAAACAAATAGTGAGATATAAATGTATAATAGTTCTCACAGAAAAATAGCTTCAGTAGATCCTGGCAGATCAGCAGCCACAGGCATTCCAGGAATTCCTACACTGGACCTGACTAATGGATAAATAAGAGCCTCCTGAAATCTGTAAACAAACCAGGAACAATCTTCAGTAATACTTAGACATTTTTTCCATAACTTTTGCAGCTTCTATGAAGAAGTTCCAAATTCTGTCCCTGGTGCAAATTAGGAGGAATTTACCATCTTTGAGATGGAAAGAAAGATTATAGGATAATGTCTGGAACATTCTTCCTAGTCAAAATGACAAAATACTTTATTTGCCTCCACTTTGGAAGCTGTCAACTTCCTAATTGTAGGCTTAAACAGAAAAAGTTTCCCAAAGATTTGATGTGCCAGATCTCATATCAGAGTCCTCTGAAGGAGTCTATCAAAGACTGTAGAGATTATTTAACTGTTATTTCTTATTTTTTTCTGCATGTACATTCTGACATAAGATTCACATGCACAAGCACAGGAAGCCAAATAATTTTTACTTCTTTTACTACTACAAATATTTTACTTAAAATAAATTTTACTTTACCAGGACCTTTATGGATGAAATCAAACCATATATTCTATGCATGCTATATGGCCCTAACAACCATAGGACATATTCCTACTATATTCAATTCCCTGATAGCTGGGAAAGCCTGAGAAAGCCTCCAAGGAAGAGGAACAAATTGTGGGCTTGAATACACAGATCCAAAAATTTGCATAGTTTCTTTCTCTTTAAGTTGACTATCTGTACAGTCACAAAGTCTTAGACTTCAGATGGTGCTTGTTACAAAAAGCCATTTATCTCTGTTTTAGTACTACAGAAATTGAAGAGCCAGTTGTTCAAAGACAGCAGCATGCAGAGGAAGTTTGACAATAGCATACATATCATAGGCCACATTAGAGCAAAATAGGAAAATTAATTCCTGACTCAAACAAAACACTGACACTGCCTGGTGCAGGATTTGAGAGTAAGCTATGAGTATTGCCTTGTCTTGAACAAATATGAGGTAAGAACATCTGCCATAAGATCATGAATCTCCCCTGCTCAACTGGCCAAAGTCTAGATGTAGACAAAGCTGCCAGAGAGCATTTGCACTAAAGATGGGATTGAGCAAATAGCTATTGATTTAGATTCTTGGTGCACCATATAGGT